TTATTATTTCTTATGTTAATTCTTTTCAATCCCTGAGGTACCTGGAAATATTTCTTCAGTTTCGTTTAACCATTTAAATGCCTCAGGCTTTTAAGGATTGTGAATGTCAATAACTTTTCTACTTCATTCTTGTGTGAGGTTGTGCCCACAGTGGAAACTTTGAAGACCCAGGATTTAAAAGAAAATCCTTATTTGATTGTTTTCTTCCTTTTATCCTCTCAATCCTTTATTGTTTCAGGGTCTGTGGTATAGTAATTAGGAAGGATTCATAGTTTTTTAGTCCAAAAAGCAAGGGGAATGGTGCTATCTGTAACAGAGTTCTCAAATCTATCTATTACATGTGTTAGTACTTATACAAACACCACCTATGACTATTTGCCAAAGTCCAAAGGCAAGAAATATTGCATAAAAGGAATAATTGAAAATATCAACAGAAGTATTGACCCTTCAAGTATTATTTGATTGTGTGTGTATATGTGGCCTAAATATATTTGTGCTATAATTTTAAAATATCTTTTCTTTGTATGAGTCTAACCAGCCATCTCAAAATAACTGTTTACTATGTGTCAGTAACTATTGATATATTAAAATTTCGCATGCTTTAGTTCATTTAAGCCTCATGGTAACTTTATTGGTAAATAGAAAATGCAAAAGACTTCAATTATATTACTATTTCTGCCACAATTCCAATTAGAGTTCTTTGCAATTTACTTAATTGAAACATACATTTTTTTTAATCTATAGTTAATAGTAACTGTTTCAGCTTGAGAAAGGAGAGTGTAGTATTGCTTAGTATTTTCCATAATATGAGAGATAGGAATCACTCCTCCTCAGTGCAAAACCATTTCCTATGTATTTATTTTTGATAAATCAAGTCAAATATGCTTCCCTTCTTCAAGGTCTGATAAAAGTATTAAATATGATAGCAGTTATCATTTTTGGAGTTCATTACGTAGTTTACTGAGGAGGTTCTGAAGCCAGCTACCTGGGTTCTAGCCCTAGCTATAACATCTCTCAGGTAAGGTACCTAAGTACAAAATGAAGATAAGGACACATAGGGATATCAGGGGGAGGATCTACGCTTACATAGAAGTGATCAGGACAGTCTTACTGAAAATTTGAAATTGTGGCAAACACTCTTAAAAGGTGAAAGAACATTCTAGACAGAGGGCATAGCAAGTGAGGAAGCCATGAGGTGGAAACATGCCTATTGAGTTTGAGGAACAGCAAAGAGGTTGGTATGTCTGGAGGCAAGCTAGCCTAAGACTAGCTACTCTGTTTTGTTTGGCCACTTAAATACCTGAGGTTAAATGACTGAAGGATGCTTATTTTGGATAGCTAGTGAGTAATACGCATTAGCCATTGGTTTGGTAATACATGTTTAACATGATTAAGATTAAAGCAAGTCTTTCCTCTAATTTTTGCTTGAAGAACAAATAATACCTTTAAAAATCAAATCAATTACTCTTTCTAGTGCATTCAACCAGACAACTTACTGCGTCCGAATTGGAGTTCCCAGTTTTTCAGAGGAACCAATAGGGAAACAAAAGTAGTTATCCAAGGAAGCAATGTTCTTAGACACTGGAAAATGGAAATTTTGAAAAAGAAAACAAACCTTCTCTAGACTAATATTCCGTTCATGTTGAAGATGAACACAGCTATGAAATACCATCTGGTAGAGTGCACTTTATGTGCATAGAATGATTCTACACATTTCAGAGGACATTAAGACAAAGTACCTGCCCTTAGGGATTCGAAAACAGATAAAAATCAACGGATTCAGATGATCTTTTCTTTTATCACTTAGGCAAACAAGTTCTGATTTACGTTATTAAGTTACTTGAGAGCAAGAACTGAAGCTTTCAATTCAGTACAGCAGTGTTTCCAAAAATGTGTGTATGCACTCCTGGTGTTATATCTTTGGCCCTTTAACAAAATGTTGATATTTATGAATGTATTTAAATATAAATTATGTAAATTAATGTATATATCCTATTTATGACAAGTAGTATTGTTTCGTCATTCATGATTCTGAGATAAAATTTCTTTTTTGAAATAAATGTATTTAAGTAAAAAGTTTATTCAATATTCCCAACAATGTAAAGTAAATATATGATATATAATATGCAAATATAACACATCTGAAACTTGAAAATGTAGCTAAATCTAGAATGACAAAAATATAAATATGCTCAAAATACTAGGATGTTGGGAAATGAAAGATGGGAGGGCCACAAATCTCCAAACATCTTTTTTTCTTTCAATATTGGTATTGATTAATGATCTTTTGCTCAGGAGGCCAAATGAAAAATGCTTTAGGCTAGCTAGGAAGGCATAAGCTGGTTGTGCTGAAAATAAATAGCATTTAATATT